TCCTCTCTCGGCCTCTCCTTGCCCTTCCTGGCCCTCCTCCTCGTTGCTCCTGAGATCCTCTTGCGCGGTCCCCCGGGGCCCCCCGTGCCCGGCCCTTCCTTTCCTAACGAGATTCCGATGGGGTCGAGGCTCTGGCGTTCGGGGTCGGATCTACCCGTTGCGTCTGCAGCACCCACTAGGAGGCTCTGAGGATCTACGGGGTTCTCTGGAGTCTCAGAGAGCCCGGAGGAAAAAGGAGAGAGACGCCTGCAAGCTCGAAAATCACTCGCGCCCAGTCCCGGCCAGTCCCGCCAGGCCGCCCCAGGGGCCTGGAAGTCCTCTGGGCAGCTGTTGCCCAGCAGCGGGATGGTCCGGTGGCCCGACTTCTGCCTGTTCATCTTGACCTCCTTGTCGGCACCGTCGTTGCCGAGCGTGAGCGCGTCCTTGGCCAGGTCCACGATGGCGCCCAGGTTCCCCAGCCAGCGCACCGGCAGGAGGAGGGGCACGTCCTCGCCCACGACCCGGAACAGGATGAGGCACCTGAAAGCTGCACGGGCCACCGGGACCATGGCCTCGCCCACGACCTTGGACCGGCCGCCGACCCCCTTGGCGCTGCCACATCCGCCCGTCCTGCGCATCGGGATGATCCGGCCCTTCTCGCGGCACTTGAGCTGGAGGTCGCGCAGCTGGCTCTCTCCCACGAGCGCCTGCCCGGCCGCCGTGTCGACCATGCCCTCGGGCTCCTCGCCGTTGATCTCCAGCATGTAGATCTCCTGGCCTGGGCGGTCGGCTGACTCCGGGACCCTCAGCGCGCAGATCTCCCGGATGCGAGCGCCTCCTACGAGGAAGGTGTCCCCGTCGCCGTGGCCGCTGGCGGCCGCGTACATGGGGCCCTTGGCCCCGGCGGTGCCTTTCTGGCCCCTGTCGCGGACCTCCGACTTCGGCTTGTAGGGATTCGTGCATTCTTTCCTCCAGTGACCCTTCTGCCCACAATTCGCGCACCTCGTCTTCTCCTTGTGGCGCGCGATGCTCAGCCTCTGCTTCCCTGCGGTTGGCCGCGGCGCCTGCCGGCCCCCGGCCCTCTTCAAGTCGAAGAAGTCTCGATCCCGCGGGATCGCCTTCTTGAGCCCCGTCGACTCCGCCCACTTCCGCGGGCGGCCCTCCTTCTCCCTCTTCTCGTCCAGCACCGCGGCCAGCACCGCGATCGCCTGCTCCTCGTCCAGCTCCTGGTCGGCGATCGCCTCGTAAAAGGCCGCGGCGTCCTCGTTGTCCATGATCAGGTCCTCCTCGAATTCGAAGTAGACGTCCTGGCCCCTGGTGTCCTCGTCCTCCTGCTCGCGGTCGCTGTCCGCGGTCGCGTACACCCGATGCTTCATTTGACTCCTCCTCTTTTTCACGTCCATCTTTCTGAGCCCGGCTTTGATCGACTCCAGATCTTCTCGCCCCTGCGTGATCGACAGAAGATTGATGGCGTTCTGCTCGCTGATTTTCGCTCCGTTTCTCAGCTGCTGTACCTGGACCGACTCCGGGAGATCGAGACCGTGCTTTCGTGCAGCTCGTACTTGCGTGTCCTTTCTCATCACATACTGGGCATATGTCTCTCCTGGTCGCATCTCCGTGTCCTCCAGTACTAATCTGAAGCTCTCCTTGGCCTCGTCGCCGTCCTGATGTCCTCTGCATTTGTTTGAGGAAGTCGATCAGCACGTTTAGTCCTTCTGCGCTGTCCAACTCATCCTGCTGATGCAGTAGTCGCCCCTGCAGGTCCATCGGCAAGCCGTCGATGACCTTGCCCGCCTGCTGCTCGGCGGGCAGCCCCGTACGCTTGGACCAGCGCTTGAGGGCCACGATGTAGGTGTCCAGCCGCTCGAATCCGCCCCACGGCGCGGGTCCCTGCGTGTCTGACGGCCTCCAAGTCGAAACCGACGCGCCCGTTTCGGTCGGTGCCCACGGCGTGGGCGGCGGGGACACTGGCGTCGCCGCCGAGCCCGCGGCCCGTTCCTAGGCGAGCCCCGCGGGCACGCCGCTCTGAGCCGGCGCCGCTGGAGGCGGCCTGGCCCGCGGGCGTCCGGCAAAGCCGGCGCCCCTGGCCGCGCAGGTGCCTCGGCCGCTCGCCCGCCGCCGCCGCGCAGCAGCCCGCGCGGCACCGGCGGCTCGACCGGCCGCGCGATCGGGACCCGTGCCGTCGCCCGTCGCCGGGACGTCCTGCCACCAGCTGCTGGTGTTGCTGTCGGTGCCCCACCAGCTGCTCCACCAGCTGTTCCACCAGCCGCCACTATTGTTGCTCGCCGTTCTCGTCTAAGGATCCCGGTGCGTCCACGGATCCTCAGTTTCTGGTGGTGCTGGTGGTGGCGCCTCGCTTGGTGGCTGTCGCGCCTGCTGGGCCTCGCTGGAAGCCTCAGGCGCTGCTGTGTCTGCTGCTGTTGCTGCTGCTGCTTCTGCTGCTGCTGCTGCTGCTGCACGCTGTGGGGCAACAGCGGTCGGGCTAGGCCCGCTCCCTTGCGCGCCGCCCGGCTCTCCTCCACCTCGCTCTACCATGACGCTCCTGCTACCATGTGAACGGCCGTCTCGGAACGGAGGAAACAGAGGGAGGCCAGGCGGCGACGCGGGAGCGGGTCGATATACCACCCGCCACCTTTTCCTGAAACGCGCACTTGAGCCACAACAGCTGCAAACCCTTGAATACTATGTATTCGCCCAGCAACGTGACTATACAATACGAAACTCACTGAAACAACTCTGGGGACCTCTTGGGACATGGGAGATGGGAAGCTATAAGACACTCCTTTTCCTCCTCTTCCTCCTCCTCCTCTTCCCCTCTTCCTCCTCCTCCTCGTCGTCGTCGTCATCGTCGTCCTCCTCATCCTCTCCCTCCTCCTCCCCCTTCGGGTGCTGCTGGACGGGGTGCGGAAACCACGTGGATGTGCGTGACTTCCTGCGCTACCAATTGGTTCCTGCACGTTGGGCATTGAGTGAAGGGCACCCGCGTCTGGTCGCCACGTAGTTGGGCCTCGATGGCCCTGCGCAGCTCTGACGGAGCCGAAGACCGCACTGAAGGAAAATGCAGAGCCCAATGTATGTACTCACGGGGGGCCCCATGGAGCCGAGCGTAAGCTCTCGGACGCAGTTAATCGATCTGACGATGCCGCTGGTTCCGGGGCTGCGGAGGCTGCGCCAGGGAACGGCGGCAGCACTGGAAGTTGTGGTCCTCAGGGCGGCGTAGCAATATTGAACATCCGAGGGGCAGGTAAGACGGCGTGCGTGTCGGTGCACGTTCGGCTCCAGACAATGGTCAGTGAAGCCACCGACCACGAGCACTGGATGGACTCGGGCATCTGCCAGGAGCGCTCGATGGCCGATAGCCGGCTGCACTGGAGATGGGCTGAGTCCTGGCTGCAGTGGTGGAGGAGATTCGGTGATCATGAAGGCGACTCCTGGGATGCAAGCGAGAGGCCAAGCATCCAGGGTGCCCCCAATAGGTCCCATGTCGGCGTTGCCTCCAAAGCTCGCGCCGCCTTCTTGGGCACCTGAGCTTCCAGAGTACTCCGAACCGCAGACGTTGCACTTCATCGCGGCCCCGTCGTGTCCCTAGGTGTTTTTTCTTGCGGCCCTAGCCCTTGCCGCTGGGGCGTTTACCTTTCCCCTTTCCGCTGCCTCCAGCTGGGCGAGGAAACTGTACTTCGCACCCTTGCCTTTGCTTTTGCCTTTGCTGGCAAACGAATGTCCTTTTTTCCTGATGGGTCTCCTAAATGTTCTAGCGGGCTTGTCCATGTGGCGTCGCCAGTGACGTTTGTGATGCGTCACTTGCCAGAATAATTGAATCATTGGGCGTCGGCTTGAGCTTGAGAAAAGCCTCTGAATTGTTCCGATGAGTAGCCGACGGCTTCTCCAAGGTCGGAGCTGGTGTTGGATCTGGCGCCACCTGCAAAGCCCAACTGAGCACGCGCGTCATCAGCGCGCAGCCACGCGGCGGCGGGATGTGCGGCCTGCGGCGGCGCAGCGCTCAGCTGAGGGCTACCAGCGGCGTGCGCGAGGGCACCTGCGGCGCCTGGGAGCTCGGCAGCGCCAGCAGCCCAAGGGTCAAGCCCTTGTAAATGCCGAGGGTCTGCTGCGCGTGCGTCGATCCTGCTGGTATTGGTCATGCATGCCCACGAAGCTTCCCAGGGATGGCGGTGAACGGAGGACGCCGGGGATGTTGCTGGGTGCCCACCTCCCTCGTCCCTCCTCCCTCAACTGTCCTCCTCCTCCTCCTCCTCCTCCTCCTCCTCCTCCTCCTCCTCCTCCTCCTCCTCCTCCTCCGCCTCTCCCTTCCTCCTCCCGCAGAGGGACGGTCCTTCTCCTGCCGCAGGGGGAAGAGCTCGAGGAAGGCGATGAACACGCCGATCTGCGCCCAGCCGTCGGCCGGCATCTGCGGGGGGCGCGGGGGGGGGGCGGAGAGGGGGGAAGACTCATCACTCTCTCGATGCAGGGAGGCTCCTCACGAGATAGGTCCTCTCCCTCCTTCCTTCGTTCCTTCCTTCCCTCCGTTCCTTCCTTCCTGCTCCTCCGCCTCCCCCCAGCCTCCTTGTGCTGGGGTGCCCTGGGCGCCCCGCACGTAGAACAAGGTAGACACGACTGCTCCCGACACTTGCCCGGAAGTGGGGGGGGGGGAGAAATAAAGCTCTTGCCTCCTGTGGGATAGAACTTGCACGGATGGAGGGCCAGGCTTATGATGTTCCGACCTACTTTAGCCTTGACCACCAGGACGAAGTTCGAGCACCAAGGAAGAACCGAAATTCTAAGTTTTTCATGTGTCGGGCCCTGGGAGACACTCGTTCGACACTTGTTTCGTGCTTCCAGACCTATATTGGCGTCGGGCGGTGAGGTGTCTTGGAAGACTCTGCGCCTGCGTCGGCTGCCACTGCTCGTCCTTTGTTGCACCCAGTGATCACAACACTAAAGTTCTGATACTGTCCGAATTCCAACATCGCCTCCCACATCTCGTTCGACAGCGCCAGAGCCCGCGGCCACTGACCACCTTTCACTCAAGCGCTGTTCCTCAGCGGTGTGGCTGACTTGCCTGTCGCATCGCTTCTGCGAATCAGAGCGACGATCGCAGGGCTGTAGCTGGCTGCGTCGGGCTCCAGCTTCGCCTCCCGCAACTCGCTCAGCAGCGCAAGCGCCCGCTGCCACTGCTCGCCCTTCTTGCACGCAGAGATCCCAGCGCTTTAGCTGATGACGTTGGGCTCCAGCTTCGCCTCCCACATCTCGCTCAGCAGCGCAAGCGCCCGCTGCAACTGCTCGCCCTTCTCGCAGGCGCTGATCCCAGCGTTGTAGCTGACTAGGGCAGACCTGTGGACTCCGTCCACGACATCAGCTCGACGTGGCCAGTTGAAGGCGCTCTCCACACCCTCCAGGACCTCCTGCTCTCCTGTGTTCCTCAGCTGCTGCTGCTGCTCGGAGGTCCTGCTGTTTCCTCCCCCTCCTCCTCCTCCTCCTCCGCCTCCTCCTCCTCCTCCTCCTCCTCCTCTTCCACCTTCTTCTCCTCTTTTGCTGGATTCTCCATGCCCTCGGTCGGCAATCGTCGATCCTACGACGACTCTCCCCAACAGAGAAACATCGAAGGCCCTCAGAGCGTCCAACATTGTTCTTTTGTGCCTTCGATATGCCGGTCGCCTCTCGTCCGCAGAAGGGACCTCTGTGGTCACTCACCTGGCGTGGAACGAGACAGGTGGTAAGGTGGTCAGGTGGTACGGTGGTACGGTGGTAAGGGTGTCAGGTGGTCAGGTGGTAAGGTGGTAAGGTGGTAAGGTGGTAAGGTGGTAAGGTGGTACGGTGGTAAGGTGGTAAGGTGGTAAGGTGGTAAGGTGGTAAGGTGGTAAGGTGGTCAGGTGGTCAGGTGGTAAGGTGGTCAGGTGGTCAGGTGGTCAGGTGGTCAGGTGGTCAGGTGGTAAGGTGGTAAGGTGGTAAGGTGGTAAGGTGGTACGGTGGTACAGTGGTACGGTGGTCAGGTGGTAAGGTGGTAAGGTGGTCAGGTGGTCAGGTGGTCAGGTGGTAAGGTGGTAAGGTGGTACGGTGGTACGGTGGTATTGTTGGTAGTAAGGTGGTAAGGCGATAAGGTTGTAAGGTGGTAAGGTGGTAAGGTGGTAAAATGGTCAAGTGGTAAGGTGGTAAGGTGGTGAGGTGGTAATGTGGTCAGGTGCTCAGGTGCTCAGGTGGTAAGGTGGTCAGGTGGTAAGGTGGTAAGGTGGTAAGGTGGTAAGGTGGTAAGGTGGTAAAGTGGTAAGGTGGTAAGGTGGTAAGGTGGTAAGGTGGTAAGGTGGTACGGTGGTACGGTGGTAAGGTGGTAGGGTGGTAAGGTGGTAAGGTGGTAAGGTGGTAAGGTGGTCAGGTGGTCAGGTGGTCAGGTGGTCAGGTGGTCAGGTGGTAAGGTGGTAAGGTGGTAAGGTGGTAAGGTGGTGCGGTGGTACGGTGGTACGGTGGTACGGTGGTCAGGTGGTAAGGTGGTCAGGTGGTCAGGTGGTCAGGTGGTAAGGTGGTAAGGTGGTAAGGTGGTAAGGTGGTAGGGTGGTACGGTGGTAAGGTTGGTGGTAAGGTGGTCAGGCGATAAGGTGGTAAGGTGGTACGGTGGTCAGGTGGTAAGGTGGTCAAGTGGTAAGGTGCTACGGTGGTAAGGTGGTAAGGTGGTCAGGTGCTCAGGCGGTAAGGTGGTCAGGTGGCAAGGTGGTAAGGTGGTAAGGTGGTCAGGTGGTAAGGTGGTAAGGTGGTAAGGTGGTCAGGTGGTAAGGTGGTCAGGTGGTAAGGTGGTAAGGAGGTCAGGTGTTCATGTGCTGAGGTGGTCAGGTGGTAAGTTGGTAAGGTGATCAGGTGGTACGGTGGTCATGTAATCAGGTGGTAAGGTGACCAGAGTTACTTGGGCATGGGTTTTCTAGTCGGCATCGCCTTGTCACAGCGCTGGTCATCCTCCTCCTTCTCCTTCTCCCCCTCCTGTTCCTCTCTCCTCCTCTGTCTCGTCCTCCTCCGCCTGATCATCCTCATACATCTTCCTCGTTTCCTCCTGATCAAGCGATGGTGCTGGACCCTCTGCTGAGTTGCACCATCTGCTGGGCAAAACCCGTCCCCAAACTGTTTCGAAACGCATCCTCGGTGTTAGGTGTGCCCCTCTGCTGTGCTGCGCCTTCTGCTAGGCAAGACCCCTCCCCAACCCCCGTTTATTATTGTTTTTTATGTTTAATATATATATATATTATATATATATATATATATATATATATACAATCCTCCTTAGTGCTAGACATGCCGCATCTACTGTACTGCGCCCTCTGCTGGACAAGGCCCCATCCCCAGGCCGATTTGAAAAGCATCCCTCGTGCTAGACATGCCCCATCTGCTGTGATGCACCCTCTGCTAGGCAAGGCCCCTCCCCAAGCTGATTCAAAAAGCATCCTTAGTGCTAGACGTGCCCCTCTGCTGTGCTGCGCCCTCTGCTAGAGAAGGCCCCTCCTCAAGCTGATACAAAAAAACATCCTTGGTGCTAGACATGCCCCTTTGCTGTGCTGCGCCCTCTGCTAGGCAAGGCCCCTCCCCACGCCGATTTAAAAAAAGCGTCCCTGGTGTTAGACATGCTCCATCTGCTGTGCTGCACCCTCTGCTGGACAAGGCCCCTCCTCAAGCTGATGTTTTTAAAAAGCATCCTTGGTGTTAGACATGCCCCTCTGCTGTGCTGCACCCTCTGCTGGACAAGGCCCCTCCCAAAACTGAGTTAAAAAGCATCCTTGGTGCTAGACATGCCCCTCTGCTGTGCTGCACCCGCTGCCCTGCAAGGCCCCTCCCCAAGCTGATTTTAAAAAAGCATCCTTGGTGCTAGACATGCCCCTCTGCTGTGCTGCTCCCTCTGCTAGGCAACATCCCTCACCAAGTCGAATCCAAAACATCATCATTAGTGCTAGACGTGCCGCATGTGTTGTACTGCGCCCTCTACTAGACAAGGCCCCTCCCCAGGCTGCTTCATAAAGCATCCTTGGTGCTAGACATGCCCCATCTGCTGTGCTGCACCTTCTGCTAGGCAACACCCCTCCCCAAGTTGATTCAACAAACACCCCTAGTGCTAGACATGCCCCTCTGCTGTGCTGCACCCTCTGCTGGGCAAGGCCCCCCCAAACTGATTTGAAAAGCATCCCTGGTGCTAGACATGCCCCATCTGCTGTGCTGCACCCTCTGCTGGACAAGGCCCCTCCCCAAGCTGATTAGAAAAAGCATCCCTTGTGCTAGACATGCCCCACCTGCTGTGCTGCACCCTCTGCTAGGCAAGGCCCCTCCCCAAGCTGATTCAAAACGCGTTCTTGGTGCTAGACATGCCCCTATGCTGTGCTGCACCCTCTGCTAGGCAACACCCCTCACCAAGTCGAATCAACAAATCATCATTAGTGCTAGACGTGCCGCATGTGTTGTATTCCGCCCTCTGCTAGACAAGGCCCCTCCCCAGGCTGATTCAAAAAGCATCCCTGGTGCTAGACATGCCCCATCTGCTGTGCTGCACCCTCTGCTAGGCAAGGCCCCTCCCCAAGCTGATTAAAAAACACTTCTAGTGCTAGACATGCCCCAACTGCTGTGCTGCACCCTCTGCTAGGCAAGGCCCCTCGCCAAGCTGATTAAAAAAGCATCCCTGGTGCTAGGCATGCTTCATCTGCTGTGTTGCACCCTCTGCTAGGCAACACCCCTCCCCAAGCGGATTAAAAAAAACATCCTTGGTGCTAGACATGCCCCATCTGCTGTGCTGCACCCTCTGCTAGGCAAGGCCCCTCCCCAAGCTGATTAAAAACGCATCCCTGGTGCTAGACATGCCCCATCTGCTGTGATGCACCCTCTGCTAGGCAAGACCCCTCCCCAAGCGGAATACAAAAACATCCTTGGTGCTAGACATGCCGGTCTGCTGCGGTGCGCCCTCTGCTAAACCGGTCTTGTCTAGCAGAGGGTGCAGCGCAGCAGATGGGGCATGTCTAGCACCAGGGATGTTTTTTTTAATCGGCTTGGGGAGGGGCCTTGCCTAGCAGAGGGCGCAGCACAGCAGAGGGGCACGTCTAGCACCAGGGATGCTTTTTAAATCAGCTTGGGGAGGGGCCTTGCCTAGCAAAGGGTGCAGCACAGCAGAGGGGCATGTCTAGCACTAGGGATGCTTTTTGAATCAGCTTGGCGAGGGGTCTTGCTTAGCAGAGGGTGCAACACAGCAGATGAAGCATGTCTAGCACCAGGGATGCTTTTTTAATCAGCCTGGGGAGGGGCCTTGTCCAGCAGAGGGCGCAGCACAGCAGATGCGGCATGTCTAGCGGTAAGGATGTGTTTTGAATCAGTTTGGTGAGGGGTCTTGCCTAGCAGAGGGTGCAGCACAGCAGAGGGGCATGTCTAACACCAAGGATGTTTTTTAAATCAGCTTGGGGAGGGGCCTTGTCTAGCAGAGGGTGCAGCACAGCAGATGGAGCATGTCTAGCACCAGGGAAGCTTTTTAAATCGGCTTGGGGAGGGGCCTTGCCTAGCAGAGGGCGCAGCACAGCAAAGGGGCACGTCTAGCACCAAGGATGCTTTTTAAATCCGCTTGGGGAGGGGCCTTGTCTAGCAGAGGGTGCAGCACAGCAGATGGAGCATGTCTAGCACCAGGGAAGCTTTTTTAAAATCGGCGTGGGGAGGGGCCTTGCCTAGCAGAGGGCGCAGGACAGCAAAGGGGCACGTCTAGCACCAAGGATGTTTTTTTTGCATCAGCTTGGGGAGGGGCCTTCTCTAGCAGAGGGCGCAGCACAGCAGAGGGGCATGTCTAGCACTAGGGATGTTTTTTGAATCAGTTTGGTGAGGGGCCTTGCCTAGCAGAGGGTGCAGCACAGCAGAGGGGCATGTCTAGCACCAGGGATGCTTTTCAAATCGGCCTGGGGATGGGGCCTTGTCCAGCAGAGGGCGCAGTACAGTAGATGCGGCATGTCTAGCACGAAGGACGTTTGTTTTTTTCAATCGGGTTGGGGAGGGGTCTTGCCTAGCAGAAGGCGCAGCACAGCAGAGGGGCACACCTAGCACCGAGGATGCGTTTCGAAACAGTTTGGGGACGGGTTTTGCCCAGCAGATGGTGCAACTCAGCAGAGGGTCCAGCACCCTCGCTTGATCAGGAGGAAACGAGGAAGATGTATGAGGATGATCAGGCGGAGGAGGACGAGACAGA